GTCTGAGGTAAAGGTAAGATATTATAGTTCTAGCCCTTGGCTTCTTTCAACTGAGATACGTGAAAGATCGAGTGTATGCGAGATCCTTCTGGTAATTTCAATCGGTAAGCCGCTTTGCCTATGCGTTCCAGAATTTCATACGGTCCATAAAAACGCGCGGCTAACTTCTGACACACCCGACGAGCCACTGATGTTTGGCGGTAAGGTCGTAATTTCAAGAAGACCTGAGAGCCAACCTCAAAATTAACATCTCTACGATGCTTATCAGCTTGATTCTTCATCAACTGTTGAGCCCTTTGCAACTGGTTCTGTATCTGTATCAACATCAAATCACGCTCCTTAAGCATCTTCTCGAGCTCAAAGTTGGTAGTAGAACCGTCTTCGAAGCGGATTACCGGTGGTGGTTCTCTGCCATACACCACTAAGAATGGGGTCGTTTTCAAGGCGGTGTGGTAGTTAGTGTTGTACCAGAGTTCTGCCCATGGTAAATATGTTGCCCACTTCTTAGGATGTGCTGATGCTAGACATCTCAAATAAGTCTCTACACAGCGATTCAAAACCTCAGTCTGCCCATCCGTTTGAGGGTGGAAAGCAGTACTGTATTTGAGTTTAGTCCCAGCTTGTGCGAAACATTCTTTCCAAAAATGACTCAAGAAAATCCGGTCTCGATCCGATACTATGGACTTGGGAAACCCATGTAGTCGAACAACTTCCTGGATGAATTTCTCAACCACCTGAGTCACTGTGAAAGGGTGTTTAAGGCCGATGAAATGACCAAATTTGCTGAGACGATCGACCACCACTAATATAGCGTTTGAGCCTTTAGAAGTAGGTAAGCCTTCGACAAAATCGAGACTAATGTCCTCCCAAATAGCTGTTGGTATTGGTAATGGTTGGAGTAAACCCGCTGGTGACAGAGTGGAATACTTGTGTGTTTGACACACAGTACACTCGGAGACAAAACGTTGCACCGATGTTCTCATATTCGTCCACTGGAACGACTGCTGAATCCTCTTTAGAGTTTTGAGAATACCCGAGTGTCCACCTATAACTCCTTCGTGGCACTCTGCTATAATCAAAGGGATATATGCTGAAGATTCCGCTATCACCAGCCTCCTTTTATACCACAATCTACCATCCACCACAACATAACCTGCCTTAACTGGTTCACCATCGTTTATACGTTTGATCATGGATTGAATCTCTGCATCTTCCTCAATCTCTTTGAACAAATCATGTAGCTGTACAACGGTGGGAACCATCAATGCTAACAGGGAAGTGTTGACTGATTCTAATGGTGGTTGCAGGCTTCTAGATAACCCATCTGCTGCCTTGTTTTCGATACCTGGTTTATATCTGATATCAAAATCATATCCCAATAGACGAGTTAACCATCTTTGATGTTCCATTGACACCTCACGTTGTTCCAAGAGAAACTTAAGGCTCTTTTGGTCTGTGTGGACTTCAAATCTTCGGCCAAGCAAGTAATGCTTCCATTTTTGTATTGCCAAAACGATGGCCATAAGTTCTCTTTCGTATGCCGATTTCAGTTGTTCCCGTGGTGATAAAGCACAACTGAAGTAGGCAATTGGTCTATTCTGTTGCATCAATACTGCACCGAGTCCAAAACCTGAGGCATCCGTTTCGACGATGAATGTATCCGAAAAGTTTGGAAGTGCCAGTACTGGTGCTGATATCATAGCTGTCTTAAGTTTGTCAAATGCACCTTGTGCTTCCACGGCCCATCCGAATTTCTCCTTCTTCAAAAGTTCGGTTAATGGCCGTGCTAAGACGCTGTACCCTTTGACAAACCGCCTATAATATCCTGTTAGACCAAGGAACCCTCTCAACTCTTTCACCGACTTAGGAGTAGCCCATTTTGTCATTGCCTCAGTTTTCTTTGAATCTGTTGCGACGCCTGTTTGTGAAATGATATGTCCCAAATAATCAACTTCGGTCTGAGCAAATGAGCATTTCTTTCGGTTGGCATAGAGAGTGTTATCTGCAAATATCTGTAACACTATTCTCAAGTGTTCAGCGTGTTCTTCCAGACTTCTGCTATATACCAATACATCATCAAAGAAAACCAACACGAATTTTCTGAGGAAAGCTCTAAACAAGTCGTTCATGAGAGACTGAAACGTTGCTGGAGCGTTAGTAAGGCCAAAGGGCATTACTAAGAACTCGTGAGTTCTGAACGCCGTTTTGTCAATGTCAGAATCCTTCATTCTGATTTGGTGATACCCTGACCTTAAATCCAACTTCGAGAATATAACAGCTCCATGCAGTTCATCTAAAAGCTCATCTATCATCGGTATTGGAAACTTATCAGGTATTGTTGCTCGGTTCAGTGCTCTGTAATCCACACAAAAACGCCAGCTGTTGTCTTTCTTTTTCACCAAAAGAACCGGACTGGAAAACGGGCTGACACTCGGCCGTATCGTTCCTGCTTCCAACATTTCACTAACCATCCGTTCCATTACCTCTTTATGCATTTGTGGGTACCTATAGGGTCGAACATTAATCGGACCATGCCCATTCAACAAGGTTATCCCATGTTCTCTTCCTCGTCTTGGAGGTAATCCCACTGGAACCGCAAAAACATCCGTAAACTCCAACAGAAGTTCAGATATCACCGTAGGTAGCACAACCTCCTTCTTCTCTGTTACTTGATGATTTCTAAACTCCAGGTGTATTCCCTTCGACTTAATAGTGTGTCTTGTCGATAGCGTCTTTAGGGATAAACGTTTCTTATGGAGGTTTGTATCACCAAATAGTGTCACCCACTTGCCTCCATATTGGAATGAAAATTCCTGTTTCTTCCAGTCGACGAGACACTTTCCCAATGTCTCTAGCCATTGAACTCCTAAGATCATATCCACATTCCCCAGCTCTAGTGATATGAAATCAGTAGTGAACTCTAGGCCAGATAGGTTGAATGTCACCTCAGTACATAAACCCATGCCTTTGACTTGAAGACCATTACCCAGCAAAATATCATGTTCTCGATTAGTCGAAACGGCCAGCTTTGCTCTTGTTACTGTCGTTGGTGCAATGAAATTATGAGATGCACCACTGTCAAGCATCACAATGACTGGTGTTTTACCCACTAGACCGAGAACTTTGGTTGTCTTTGGTGCTTCTATCCCCAAAAAAGCATTTAATGACAGATGCAACAACTCTCCTTGGTTCGGAGTCTCATCATCTAACAACTCAAACATGCTGTCATCCAACACTTCTACTTCAAATCCATTCAATACGGTCAGCACCTGTAGGTCTTTCTTTGGACAGATGTTTTCATGTCCCCTGAACCATTTAGCATCACACTTGAAACATAATCTTTTACTTCGCTTTAAGTCCAGTTCTGCATCCGTGAACTTTTGACGAGGGCGAAGTGTAGGTCGTACTTGTTGATTTCCTTCTTTCTGATCATTAGTCTCAATCGTTAACACTTTTTGCTTATGTGGTGTTGTATATTGAGACCTCTGATTGTTGTAGAAGTTTGAGGTTCTTGGCATCGTCTTTAAGCTACTGTCCTTTTTTGAACCATCGCTAATCACCTTACAGAATGCACTATTCTCCATTTTTAACACTGCTGCAATGTGGTTAGCGAGACCTCTAGGTTCCTTTATCTTGATCACTTCTTTCAACTCCTGGGAAAGACCATTGTAGAATATATCTTCTAATCCTTTTTCATCAACTCCTGATACCTGAGACGATAAATCCTCGAACTCTGAGACATAGTCCCCGATCGATCCCGTCTGTCGGATTGAGTAAAGTCTCTTTCCTGGTTCCTCTTCCAACGATTCAGCAAACCGGATCAATAGTTTGGTTTTGAAATCCCTCCAATCTCTGAATCCTTGACGTTTCTTTACCCAAATAAACCACTTCTTGACCTTCCCAATCAGAGATAAAGCAACCAAATCCAGCTTTGCTTCATCATTGTATCGACCAATATCGAAGAAATTTTCTACATCCGCAATCCACACATACGGAGAGCTTCCTTCGAAAACCGGCATTTCAATTTTCTTCAACATACTATCTCTATTCGCTAGATCGGAAAATCCTGGTCGATAACCTAACGGAAATTCACTCCGGTTTGTTCCATGAGAGAAATTTGGTACCTGATTGGGATTTTGTGACGAGCCAGGGATTTCAACTGGTCGTATACCTCCGTCTGCGCTCGGTGGAAGGCGCGATTGCTGTTGAATCGCTGTTAGAATGGAGTTTAGCTTCCCGTTCATCTCATCTATGCGAGCTTCGGTTTGAGTATTCGATTCACATAGACGAGTAAAACCTCTTTGTAGAAACTCCAATTCCTCTCTCATCGTTGTCGATTCGAATTCGTCGGCTTCGCTTCCGACGCTCACCGCACCATTTGATAGGATCTTTGTATCGAATCTCTCTGTAAACTCTCGTATATTGATTAAGAAGAGAATTACAAGAAATGTATGTAACCGTATCTCTATACACTCATGACGCGTATACAGACTCAGCTACTCTCTACTCAACCACTTTCAACAACCATACGTATTCAGTTACAACTCAACTATTTATACTTCCTCCCTTCTTCACGCGCTTTCCATTCCTCTTCTCTACTCCTCTCTCACGCGTCGTGTATACACATTCATGGGTCTGGGCCTATCAAGGTGTCACTCTTGAAAATGCAACATCACTTTCCTTGTCCCCTTACAAATTGTAACGGTATGGAGTCCCAGCAGAGTATGCTCAAATTGCTTGTGGTTCTCTATTTTTTACTTTACTATGGGCTTCTTGTTTTTATTGTTCTTTGGAAGTATTGTGTATGTTCGGACATGCTTATAGAAGAATTTATTCATATATCTTATATCACCGAAACAGGGGTGGTGTCGTTTAGATACTGATTTGATTCCTGCAATGACACAAAACACTGCAAGATAGGCGTTTGACATATGAGCCTCAGCCCCCAAGGAGATTGTTGTTCTATTTATATTACACATTACAATTGCATTCCAAAGTCTTCACAAGACTGTACAGACTTCCTCAAGATGTTGTTTAATAAGTGCTAACATCCTATAGACTTCATCCTTCAGTTCATTTTTCTTGTCAGCATTGACAAAGACACAAACTTGGCCTCTAACTTCAATCCAACTACATCCCGAAATACGCTTTAAACCCATTTCCTTCATCTTCCTCCGTATCTCCGACACATTCTGCCACCTTTGAGTAGCGGAGTAAGAATTTGATAGCATAACGTATGATGAAACATCTCTGGGATCTATTTCCATTATCTTAGGCGCCGCTAATTTAGTCAGTCCCTTGTTTGAGTGAATCTGGCGTCCTCCAAGCAATGCCTTCCAAAACCCGATTCCTGGGTCAAGAGGCATACTTTTGATAAGCTCCTCTGCTTCTTTGAAACGACCTGACCTAGAGAGCATATCCACCATACAAGCATAGTGCTCAGGTTGTAGCAGGTGTGGATTATTATGATCATTCACTGCTTTGTTAAAATACATGTACCCTTCAAGGATTAGACCCGCATGGTAACACGCAAATAGTAGTCCAAGAAGTGTCACATTGTTTGGTTTCAAGTTTGTGTCTTTGATCATTTTCTCAAACATAGCTATAGCTTCTTCGCCTCTTCCGTTGTGCGCGTAACCCCATATCATAGAGTTCCTTAAACTCATGTTTCGTAAGGTACCCACTTATCAAACTAGTCATAGAAACAACTTCTGGGTCTCTAGTGTCATCAAAACTTCTACGAGCATTTACCAATGTGCTCAGCTTCACATAACAGTTCAAAACCGCACTACCCACAAACACGTTAGACTAGAGTCCCAACTTTAACGCATAACCATGTAGCTGCTTGCCAAATTTGACTTCTCTTATAGATGTACACGACCCATTCTTCACTACGTCGGGTTCCCAGGAATTGAGAGAAAAAAGAAACTAGCAAACGCAGCTGAACCACAATTAACGCAAGATTCAACCATCGATTTCAAAACATCTTGGCGATGTAATAACACCATAGTTAGATGCCCTTTTTGTCGCTTAACGAAGCGAATTGTTATATGAGAAGAACCAGGTGTTTAGTCCGTGCCTTTTGCGCGGGCCAAAATATTTCATAAAAAAAATCTAAAATTCTATGTTATAAATCAGGAGAATAAGAACAATAACTTGACATACGGCATTAAAATAAATCAAACATCAATATAACAACATAATAAAAACATATGATTAACAAAATAATTAAAATAAGACAAAAAATCGGTTAAAAAATTGTTATGAAATATGTTCTTATATGCAATGTGCATAGTGCGGATTGATACCTACATGAACTCTTCGGAATGGTGCAGATTGATACCTGAGAAATTTAAATGCCCAATTTCATACCTATACTTTAAAAAATTTGAATATCCATACCTATACTATTTTGTTTTTGGCCAAAACAAACATTGACCAGCATTCGGTTAGTCAACTCTATTAAATTGTTAACAGTGATGAGTTGGATGCCACATATATACCATGTTAGAACAGATCTTTAAAACGACGTCGTTTTAAATTACATAAAAAAACAAAATTATGTGGCTTGAACCTACAACCTCACGGCTTACAAGGCAAGCCTCTACCAACTACATTCACTGATTTTTACAAACAAAACTATCAAATATTATTTATATAGTTACAAAGCGGTGTGATTGAAATCAAGGGACTTTGCCTCCATTAGAATTCTGTTTATGGATCTGTTCTTCTGGTTTATGGGATTTGGCGTATCTTCTCTTTTGACTCTTTCTCATTTTCTCTGTTCAACGTTTTGATTTTTTTGATCCTCTTATTGAATTTTGGGTTTTTTTCTTCAAGTTCGACATTAACAACCTAATCTGGGATTTAATTTCTTTCTATTTTCATATCTTCTTAATTCGGGTTTAAAATCAAAGCCAATTTAGTGGTGATTTTGACTCTGGGTTCTGTTGAACCAATCTTCCCAGCTCTAATAATGTTTCTTTTGATAACAATTAGGGAAACTCCATGATTCAAAGTTCAGAGAAGCTCTGTAAGAAAGAATGTGTTACCATTAGGTGTACTTTTGAGTTATCTAATGTCCAAAAAAGATATTTGTGTGTTTTAATTATCAAAAGACACACTTTTCTTTTGTTTGGAGGGGACAAATGACTGTTTTAACCATTTTGCCTACTTATCTATATTATTTATTTATTTAATATTATATTAATATCACACAACCCCCATAATTGTTTGTTGATATTTATTTATTATTTAAAAAATAATCGAATAATTATTTTGACATTATAAATTATATAATTTTTTTATACTTTGATACCCATTTTATATTTTTTAACTTAATTTTTTTTTGTCGTTTAGTGATAAACACATAGGTATCCATATAGTAGCGTCCACGTAGACACAAATATATGGATAAATATGCAATTATATAGATATATATATATATATATATATACACATACATATTCATATAGTAGTGTACATGTGATCACAAATATATATATATATATATGCATATCCACATACATAGAGTATAAATGGATGTAACTATATAAATACATATATATATTTACATGCATATCCACGTGCATATATCATAGATGGATGTAACTATATAAATATATGTGCATATTTATATGAGTATCCATATAGTTGCATATATATGGGTGGGTCTCATGCGTTTTAGTGTATGAAAACTGATGAATTAAGGTGAATCCCATGTGATTTAGTGTGTGGAAGCTGATAAGTAAATTTAAGTGGGTCCCATATATTTTAATATTTTTTAGTAAGTAAATAGAAGGTAAAAGGAAAAGAAAGACAAAAAAAATCCAAAAATGGGAGCAAAATAAGATAAGTACATCATTTTCAGAAAGTGCTTTTTTTGGCAATTACACTTTTCAAAAGTACACTAATAATAATATTCTCCTGTAAAAAAAGATGGGTTAATTGTCAAATCTTAAGTCATAGAAGAAGTAGGTGGGAATTCTCTAATACCGAACACAATACATAGGAAAATAAAAAAATTTAACATAATTATCAAATCTTAAGCCCACTTCTTTGATTTTAATTTCAACATAATTAAAACCAAAAGCAAAAAAAAAAAAATTGTGGAGAAGATGTGAGCGTGGAGAAGATACAAGCTTTAATTGTTGGAATGTTATCATTAATAATATTTGGTACCGAAAGTCATAAATCTTCTCCAGCTAAGTTGGTAGAGTGCAGTGGTTTACGCTTAGGGGTTGCAGGTTAAAGCCTCAGTGTTTATTGTTTTAGAATGTTTTTTTTAAACGACGTAGTTTTAAAGATCTGTTCCCACAAGACACACGTGGCATCTGACTCATCACCGTTAACAGAATTGACTAACATAATATTGGTCAATGTTTGTTTTGGCCAAAAACAAAATAGTATAGGTATGGATATTCAAAAATTTTAAAGTATGGGTATAAAATTGGACACCTAAATTTCTCAGGTACTAATCCCCACCATTTCAAAGAGTTCAGGCAGGTTTTGGCCGTTTTCCCCTTCTTTGTGACTTTTTCTTTCAATTTGTAATCAAAATCTTGAGCTTTTTGTATTCTTCTCTTTCATGAATGATAATGTCTACAATAAATAGTTTTAGTCTTGTATTCTTGAACTTCTTATTTTCTCTTTGTTTTATTAGTTCACCTTCAAGCTTCTTCATCTATACCTTCTTTTTCTTCATATCAATCACACATTTTTCGCTCTCAAAATATCTTCATCATTTTCTGTTTTCTCGTAGCTTCTGTGCTATCAAGCATTTTAAGCAAGATTTGAATCTGTTTATTAGTGTTGAATCCAATATCTCTAATATTTATTTTATCATATATCTATATGTTTCATGAATCATTACCATTTACAAACAACTAATGTTTGTTTATCTAAATACTATGTTATTTCAAGTACTCTCCTTACTTCTCGGTTACTGTCTATTTTGATATTCTCAGTTATTAAATGGTTTCTCATTTCAATGATTTTATACCTGTTAAGATCATTTTCATCTCATGCACTCTTGTCACTTATTAACAACTGAATTCCACTTTATTTCTTTCTTCCTGTGAAACTTCTTACTCTAAACCTTTCTCTGTTTTTGTCTTAAGTGGAGGTTTCTCCAAAATAATAGTCATCACCATCATCCAAATAAAAGATCCATCATCTTGCACATGCATAAATGTATCATAAAACTCATCATTTAACGATAATAAATTTACTACATATAAATTTAAGACAAAGTAATTAGTAAAATTTGGAAATATGATGTCTTTAAAAGTTTTTCTTCAAACTTCATACATACTTTTGAAGGCTGTAACTCTTTCTCTATCTCTCTGTTTCTCCTCATCTCCCTCTCTCTCCATTCCTCCATTTTCCTCTCTCTTCCTTCAGGCTTTAACTTATCCCCATTTCTCTCTTGTTCCCGCCCTTCCTCTCTCCATCTCTTCTTTTCTAATTCTTCTTCTGGGTTTCCTTCTTCATCGTTTTCTTCTTCTTAGCTTATTAGTCTTTTTGTTTTTCTTTGTCTTCAATTTTTTTTGGATGGTATCCTTCTTCTTTTTTATATTTTGGTTTATTTTTTCCCTCTTATTTTGTTGTACTCTCTCCCTTCCATTGGCCCAGAAAGATTCTAGTTTTTTATTGTCTTCAGCTTCTTCTTCATCACTTTTGTCTTTTTTTACTTCTTCTCACGGTTTTTATTCTTCTAGTTCATATCTTTAACTTTCTACCTTTTATTCTTCTTCAACGTCTTCGTCTTATCCGTCTTCTTATTACACATATGATTTTTATTTGTCTTTGTCTTCATCTTCTTCCACGTCTTTAATGACGTTTTCTTCATTGGCTTAATCTTTGTTTTCTTCCTCTTCTTTATCCTTTAAATTTTTAATTTATTCAGATTCTCTGAATTCTTTTCACTCTCTCTCCCCCGTTTTTTCTTTGTTTTTCCCGTTTTTATTCCCCTTCTTTATTCATCATCTTTCGTTTTTCTTCTTCGTCGTCTTTGGCTTCTTCTTCTTTATTTGATTTGTCTGCTCTGGCTTCTTTTTCTGATTTGGTTTTCATTTTCTACTATTGGCTTTTCATTGTCTCATCTTTGTACTCTTCGTCGTCATCTTCAATTTTGTATGAAAATCTTCCATTAACAGTTTCTCCACATACATAACCCCATTGACTCTTAGACCAACCCATTGTCGGTAATTATATAATGTCCATAGATATTTTCTTTTCATCATCCTCTTTTGAGTCTCTCTCAGTACAGACAATGGTTAATTTATTTGTCTAATTAAAGTCATGCAGTAACCTTATTTTCTTTTGTCATCCTCTCATGAGTCTCTTTCGATGCAAACAATGGCTAACTTCTTTTTTATTTAATTTAAAACCATTTATCAGTGACTTCATTTCTTTTACTTTCTTAACCAAATCAGTCAAAACTTTGATTATTTTTAATTAAAACTTTAAAATTTAGTGACACATTTCTAAAAAAGTTTTATAATTATATTTTCTAGTAGCTATTTTCCAAATAAACCAATGGACAATTATTCTTTTCATTGTTTTTTTTTTATTTTGACCCTGAATTTTATTTTTTATTTGTTCAAAATCAAATATAATATACAATAGAGATATAATAACATAAAAAGTATTAAGAGTTTTAAAGACTTATTACTCTCATAATATACTTATTGATTGGAAATCAAGTGTTCTCTGCCAACTTCATTTCATCAGCAATAACAAAAATTCTCGCTTATTTGAAAACGTTTTTACACACACTCAATCCTTATCCTCATCTACTTTAATTATGTTGTGTTTCTCATACGTGGTCGTATCATTTGAGAAAACAAAATGTATATAGCTCGATAATACAATGAATAATGTTTATTTGACTAACACATTGAAATTACAAAAAATTCTCTTTCTTT